ACTGCTTACTGAAGGCATGCCTGACGGGGATAAACACTGCACACCTTGCGTCTGGATAAATAGACAGCAGGGCCTGAAACCTATGGGTGGCAGTCGGAGCACTCGTAGCAGATGACTGTGTGGGCGGCAGTGTTTGCTCAGCTGAAACATATGGGACAGTGGATGTTAAACAGTTGGCACCTCAAATTCTGATGAGGCAGTAATCCCATAAAAACCAAGGCTGCAGAACAGGTGGTTGTGATCATGCAACATGTACCTTACACAGACGAATGCAAATCCAGTTTCCTAGTGGCAGTGTGCCAGGTGTTTAGGCTCTTTCCCTGCTTCAACTAACCTGATTTTAATAAATGGGTCAATAGTAGTGCTTTCATCCTCCTGGGTGGAAAGCTGAGACGTAATCACACCATTGTAGGGTCAGGAACCCAACTTAAACATAGACATAACTCCTAAAGGAGCAGGTGTGACTACCTCTGAGCCAGCACTTTGGCTAAAGTAGTATAAAATCTTAAAATTGTGTTAAACCGTGAGGATAAAAAGGCTTTAGCTAACAAATAAGGATTTTTTTTTTCCATTTCAAGGAGTAACCCTAGTTTCTTTGCCATCTCCTTGCAAAATTATTAAGGGACACTTTTTGGCAAGGCATTGTATTCAAATCTATCGTCATGGTAAATATATTTTTTTTGCATTTTCTTACTTGTGCAAAAAGATTTTGTTAACATATGACACAAACCAGGATGTAATTTTGAGACATACTTTTGGTATAAATATGGGACTACTCCTTTTTTGCAAGGGATGGTTGCATTAGCGTAAGTAGTCTTTTTGAAGGACAGCCTCAGAAAGAAAAAAATGGCACATATAGGGCTTCTTCACCACTAAATGGGGTACTTCAGCACACACTGTGTACATAAGTGGATGCTTTGCAAACCTAGTCTATGCATACTTTATGTCTGCAGTATCTGTTAGCAGCTGTGCTAGCCTAGCCCAAAAGAACCACTTAAAAAGGACAAATATTATCTGAAAATGTCTGGGAAAACTTGTTGCAGTAAAAAACGAATTAGCAAGAGGAATGTTCCAGTTAGTGTTTAAGCAAAACAAAAAACAATAATTGTTACAGTCGTAGGGAAGTCATATTTAAATGTCAAATCATTCTGGCTTAAAAATGTATATAAATTTACTGTTTATCAGACGATATTGTCACAAAATTTTGAAAATTTCTATTTAAAAAAAAAAATCCTGTCTTAAAATCTGTGTTTTTTTTCTCCGTTATTTTATGCAGGCCAGTTAGTTATACGTCAGCCCGAACACCTAAAACTAAACCCTGGCGTCCTCTTCCACATCATCTTCATACCCGCTTTCCTCCTCTAAATAAAAATTGTATGACGGAGAAGACTCATCCACGACCTCTGACACTAAACTCTCCTCCTCTTGCATGTTTCCACTATCATTTCTAAGTCACCAATTTAGTGCTACTTGGTCCCAATGGAATTTCCCATTGGGAACCTACTAGCACTAAGTTGCTAACTGGTTAGCAGCAATGATTCCGACAAACCGGCCACAATGAAAAGTGCTTGCAAACCTTCCGCCACAACAACTCCGCCCCCTTGGTAATCGACCAATCACATTCACTTTATTCACTCGTGTAAGAGCGTGCACCAATCATGAGAATAGGGGGTTTTCAGTGACGTCACTGGCCAGCTTCCGGTCCGCCATCTTGGGTGGCATATTATCGTATATCATATATATCATGTCGCGAATGGATAAGTATGCCAGCACGCTAGAGCCACCAGATGGAACATATCTGAGAAAATGTTCCGTGATCGACCATATGGACCCCTATGCCCTCCACGGTGCCTTGTTTAGCACTAATCCAGATGATTGGCCAAATGTAGAGCATGGTGACATAGTTCATTACCTGGTGTTCAGTGAAAACCCTCTGCACACTCCTAAGGAAATGAGAGCGTACAAGGGTCTAGAGGCTCACAACCAGTTCACATCTGGTTGGGTACGAGATGTCGAAGTGATGTACATGAAGGAAATCGCCATCATATGTGGACGGGTGAGTTTTAATAAGATGGTAAAAATGTAAACAATCCGACGCAGGGCTCGCTATGCTAGGTGGCTAACGGCCGGCGGTGCGCGAACAGTTCCAAAGCTACAAGTCCTTGGAGTCTCATGTGCAGTTTACGAATGGATGGGTTCAGGAGCTGCAGCTCATAAAGCCAGCAAACAGTGCTAACCGTTAGTGCTAACAACCACTCAGGCATGTAATGTACTTTTAACTAGCTGCTATGTGTTTCAAAGGTTAGTAACGTTAACTGCCTAACCTCCCTAAACCCTCCGGGTTTCTCACATATTTGAGCCTTTTCCCGCTGGTTGAAATCAAGTTAAGGTGAAATTAATCAAATTAAAACACGGCAGAGAGAGGGAGTCCAGTACGCGGTGGTCATAGGCAGTAGTCTGAGTAGCGGCGGCGGAGACGGTCAACATTGCGGCCACGGAAAGTAATACGTCATGACGCCCAAGCCCTATTATTAATATATTCTTACATGTTTTAAATGCTTGACAGTTAATTACCTGTGACAAAGTGAGCACTGCAGACTCTGGCGTGTTCCAGCTTAACACCGTCCAAATCGGACCTGGATATCCGTGTCAGCCATAGGTGACGGCGTTGTTCAGATAGCCGTTTTGTTTTTTCACATTGATTCACGATTACGGCTGGTATGCGATAGAAAGAGCGTTGATCTCCACCTCCACGGGCCGTGCAACCAACAATTACACACGATTTCACCATTTTTCACTGTCAATACTGCCTAAGGCTGCCACCCAAATATGGCGGACGCGCTGAGTAGTCACGTGAGCGTGACGTCACCTGAAAACCCCCTATTTAGAAAAACGGTTGGAATGTCCATTTCCCTACGACATTTAATGCAGATAAAGCAAAACCAGCTTAACTGGTAAAATTAATTCATATAGCCTTTATGCGAAGATCTTTCATTTGGATTAATATTTTTCATGTTTTATGACTTGTCACACCCTCACTATTTTTTTACATTGTATTTTGCATCATGAGTTATTTTGTAATTGCTCGAATTATATGCTTTTTGTTTATGTATTTTTATATTCTGTCTAGTTATTGTGTGTTTGCTTTTATTTGGAGTCTTGTGTTAGTTTTCTCTGTCAGGTTGTGTCTTTGTATCTCTGTTTAGTTCTCATAATTTTTTGTTCCCACTCTGCTTCCTAATCAGCCCCCTTCACCAGCTGCTCTTGTTAATCAGCTTTCAGCTGCAGCTTTCCATATTCATACTGGTCAGTTTTATTCACTCCTCACAGGTTTCTACTCTATGGCAAGCCTGTTCAATCCCCATTTGTCATGCTTCTGATTTCCATGTCTGGATATGAGCTTTTTATTTTACTCATGTTTTGAATTGTAAGCAATGCAAAACTCTTTTTTATATTTTTTATATTTCATATCAAAATTAGTAGGATTTGTATTATGAGGGAAATATAGTCTTAAAACACTTCAATTTTCAAAAATTTCATAAAATGTATGCTATTTTAGGAATTTAAGAAGCTTTTATGCATTTTTTTACTATGTACACTGAACTTAGTCATGGGTTCTGTTTATTACATTTATGGACAGAATTTCTAGCTGCACCCAGGGACCAGAGGGTGTCCGGTTTGGGAACCTCAGGATATCATCTCTGCTGTTTGCAGATGATGTTGTCCTGTTGGCTTCAATCAAACCAGGATCCCCGACGTGAACTGGGGCGATTTCCAGCCGAGTGTGGAGGGGCCATGGTTCTCCACCAGAGAAAGGCGCACTCCCCTCTTCAGGTCAGTGGAGAGTCCTTGTCTCAAGTGGAGGAGTTCAAGCATCTCAGGGTCTTGTTCCCGAGTGAGGGACAGATGGAACGTGAGATTGATAGGAGGGGCTATGTCTCTGAGCTGGCTTTATGTCACCTCTGGGTTCCCCCAGAGAAGCTGGAGGACGTATGTGTGGATCGGGAGGTCTGGGCATCTTTGCTTAGACTGCTGGCTCTGCGACGCGGATGGATAGATGGATGGTTATTTAGAAAGAAACCAATTAATGTTTATACTGGAAAACATTTGGGTGGTTGTTTGCTGCTCAGAATGCAATGGACTTCCTGTTCACAAAATCTGGATTTAACACTGATCTCTATTTATCTACTAGATTGCTGATAGCCTGATAAAAGTGAAGCCACCGGCCGCCATACTTATGCTATTAAACAGAAAGTGTGTCCAAGTGATAAATTTATATCCTTATTTCAAAAGTATTAAGCCCCCGTGAAAACGAGAACATCATTGTTGTTCGATGATGTAGGGCATGTAATATTTCCATTGCCACCGATCTAACTAGGGAGTACCAATATGGCAGCCGGTGGCTTACTCCACCACATACTACCGATGGACTATCAGCAATCCAGTGAATAAATAAGAGATCAGTGGGATTTATACAAATGAAAGACTGTGAGACCAACTCCAGCTAAGATGATAACTTCTCATCCCTAATCAGCACTTTAAAAAATCCAGGATTTTTCACTTTAAGGCCTGGAGTGTCACTTTAATTTGGAAAAATTAGAAAAAAATAAGCTTTTCTACTTTAGTATATAAAATATATATATTTTTTTAATGGGCTCTTTTCAATAATCCAATAATTATAATTTATAGGCCCTTGTCAAACATGTTAATAGTTGATTTTTTTTCAAATCACATTGAATGAAAAAAAGAACAGCTCAGTCCAAGAAAAAAAGCCAAATTGGACTGGGATGAGTGTTTATTGCTAGTTTCCAGACTCGTACTGGTATCCAGTCAGTCTGTGGTCCCTCCCAGTCTCTGCTCACTGAGGACATAACATTACAGATCTCACTTTGGGATCATCTCCTTCCTCTTCGATTCACAATTGCAGTTCTGTCCACGTGCGTAGGGTTCAGGCAGCCGCCATTGGCTGGAAATCCCATCAAGTTCCGCCCGCCTGTTTTACGTCATCGCTGCGCTGTCGGTGGAGGTCTGCAGCGGGGACCCAGCCGCACTGCACACCCAGCGAACCGGCCAGGGGCGAGGCAGCTCCATCATCGCTATGGGAATTAAGCGCGGCGTCCTGAGCGAACCGAGCCCATCACAGAGTGATAACAGAGTATAAGAGAGAGCAGCCCAGAGCGCCTTATCCTCCATCTTCCGCTGAGCTGAGGGGGACCGCGGTGATGATGAGCACAAACATCTAGAGATGAGAAGTGTTACTAAAGCACACAACTTGGACAAGGACGTTTGCTCGACACTCCTCCGTGTTCTCTGATTCAGCATGATGCCCGTCATCCATGTGTCCGCCGTGGTGAGTGCTTCTCATGTCCACCAAACTCCCTGGACTCCTTTTGATTGTTTATTCTAAAGGCTGCTTAGGCAGGTTCTCCATTTAAAGGGACAGTGCATGTTTTTTTTTTTTCTCTCAACTTCAAATCAGTTCTGTCAAATTGTTTGTCCAACGGTATGAAGACAAAGACTTTTGTTTACTCTGTCAAAGGGGGAATTTAATTTATTACTGGTAATTAAACAGTGAATGAATAGAACAAAAGAAATAGGAAAGTTTCTAGTGAAGGGATGAACAAAGGGAGTGCATCCAGCTGTCTATTGTCCATTATTTCTCACAAAAAGGATGGAGAAGTCTGTTTCTTGTTTTTTGCTTATCTAAAGAATTGTATGTATGCCTAACATTTCAAAAAGATGATTATGATTTTAGTTATTTTAGAAAAACAGAATTTACTGTAAGTTTTTGATCACAAATACAGCAAATTGTTTTTTTTTCTAAAATAACAAAAATAATTCTATCTATCTATCTATCTATCTATCTATCTATCTATCTATCTATCTATCTATCTATCTATCTATCTATCTATCTATCTATCTATCTATCTATCTATCTATCTATCAACACAATTTGATGTAAGTCTTTGGTAACAATATTGCAAATTGTGTTTTTTCTAAAATAACTAAAATCATAATTATACATATACGTGTGTATATATGTATATGTATATATTTATATGTGTGTATATGTTTATATATATATGTAAATATATATATACACTCACCGGTCACTTTATTAGGTACACCTGTCCAACTGCTCGTTAACACTTAATTTCTAAGCAGCCAATCACATGGCGGCAACTCAGTGCATTTAGGCATGTAGACATGGTCAAGACAATCTCCTGCAGTTCAAACCGAGCATCAGTATGGGGAAGAAAGGTGATTTGAGTGACTTTGAACGTGGCATGATTGTTGGTGCCAGAAGGGCTGGTCTGAGTATTTCAGAAACTGCTGATCTACTGGGATTTTCACGCACAACCATCTCTGAGGTTTACAGAGAATGGTCCGAAAAAGAAAAAACATCCAGTGAGCGGCAGTTCTGTGGGCAGAAATGCCCTGTTGATGCCAGAGGTCAGAGGAGAATGGCCAGACTGGTTCGAGCTGATAGAAGGGCAACAGTGACTCAAATAACCACCCGTTACAACCAAGGTGGGCAGAAGAGCATCTCTGAACGCACAGTACGTCGAACTTTGAGGCAGATGGGCTACAGCAGCAGAAGACCACACCGGATGCCACTCCTTTCAACTAAGAACAGGAAACTGAGGCTACAATTTGCACAAGCTCATCGAAATTGGACAATAGAAGATTGGAAAAACGTTGCCTGGTCTGATGAGTCTCGATTTCTGCTGCGACATTCGGATGGTAGGGTCAGAATTTGGCGTCTACAACATGAAAGCATGGATCCATCCTGCCTTGTATCAACGGTTCAGGCTGGTGTTGGTTATGTCATGGTGTGGGGAATATTTTCTTGGCACTCTTTGGGCCCCTTGGTACCAATTGAGCATCGTTGCAATGCCACAGCCTACCTGAGTATTGTTGCTGACCATGTCCATCCCTTTATGACCACAATGTACCCAACTTCTGATGGCTACTTTCAGCAGGATAATGCGCCATGTCATAAAGCTGGAATCATCTCAGACTGGTTTCTTGAACATGACAATGAGTTCACTGTACTTAAATGGCCTCCACAGTCACCAGATCTAAATCCAAAAGAGCATCTTTGGGATGTGGTGGAACGGGAGATTCGCATCATGGATGTGCAGCCTACAAATCTGCGGCAACTGTGTGATGCCATCATGTCAATATGGACCAAACTCCCTGAGGAATGCTTCCAGCACCTTGTTGAATCTATGCCACGAAGAATTGAGGCAGTTCTGAAGGCAAAAGGGGGTCCAACCCGTTACTAGCATGGGGTACCTAATAAAGTGGCCGGTGAGTGTATATATATATATGTAAATATAAATTTGTATGTTATATTATAAACAAAACATGTTTCTTATTCAGATATAAACAGTAAACACATATATTTATTAGGTATTTAAGCAACTCTAGGTAGGGATTTTTGGTATGTCTCAAATATGCCTCAACAGGCATTACTGGTATACAAGCTTGCAGTTTGAGGCGAAACTCCAACAAGATAATAAACTAGTTCAGTTTTTTCTACAGTAACCTGTTCACTGACCAAACCAAAATCAATCAAAAATGCCTGAAAAGCAAATCTTAAATCAGCTGCCATTCTTTAACCATCGGGGGTGTCTATCCCGCCTTATAAAACCATTGTTATGACGGACAGGAGCCTGATTGTGGGAGATTGTGGGAGTTAAAGTCTGCAAATTTGGAGCCTCCACACATGTCCCGAGAAGCAGCATGACAGGTAACAGGTTAGGCAATATCACACCACAAACCTCAGTGAATTTTAATAGTAATGTTATGTTGTGCCAGTAATGCTTAATAGGGAAGAATGTTGAATGATTTTCAATTATAGCGACAAACATCACCTCTACACACCAACTCCTTGGTGAAACATTAAGCTGTAAAACACAAAAACCACTTTGTATTGTCTATCACATAAAATCTATTTAATTATACAAAATATGTAATTTTATATTAAAGAAAAACAAGGCATTATATATAGAAGTTCAAGGCAGATGAATACTTTTGAATTAAAGTGTGGATCTATAACTCCAGGTCAGCTGTGTCTCTTGGATTAATTATGCTAGTCCTAAATAGTGATAATTTAATAATCATTTTTTTTTTAAATGATCTTACTTTAATGATTTCTGTCTGTCCTAATCATGCGGTGACTCAGTACACACACAGTGTAAAAGTTGTTTTTAAATAAGGCTTTAATAAAGTTAAAGGTTTAGATGTAATTTGTTATTAAGAAGGCTGAGCACAGCTCCCATGGCAGGGTTCCTGGCTCCAGTCATTAGCAGAGACCACACATTTGTGTTCCACAAACACAAATGTGTTTGTGGAACTACTTATGCGTGTACTTTCTATGTATTTGATTGGGCGTGTCGTGAGCCCCATACATGTAATTAAACAGTAATTACATCTTAATGCTTTCTGCCAGAAACAGCCCAACCATGCACTCACATCATGTTGTCGCTCACCAATGTTTATTGGTTGATGCTGGTGTGCTTAAAGATTTCATTATTTGTCAAACCAGAGCCAAAGTATAACTACACATAATGTTGACATTCCTCAGTTTAGGGAAGAAAGTGCTTCTGAGAGTTGTCATAAAATACAACTTTATTCTCATAATTTTAATACCATGACTTTATTCCCTTAATTTTATGGCTATTCTTGTGAATTTATTCTTGTAATTTTAAGACTATTCTTGTTGTAACTTTATTCTCTTAATATTATGACTTTATTCTCTTATTTTATAACTATTCTCGTTATGACTTTATTCTGGTACTTTTACGACTTTATTCTCATAGTGTTACGACTTTATTCTCTTAATGTTACGACTTTATTCTCGAAATAGAAAAGAAAAAATTCTCAAACAGATTAGCTGCTGCAGCTGTTTCTCAATTCACTAGAACGCGAGTACGGACTCGTTTCCTTGCCAAGTATGTTCTAGAGAAGAACGCAGGAAAGTGTGGACTCTGGGAGAACGGGAGCATGCAGCATAAATGTGGGTCAATTGGAATAGAAGCGTACTGATGACATCACCACACGCTCTGCTCGTCTGGAGCTGCATTTCACCTCCTGTTATTAATAGTCTCTAGATAATAATAAATCTTACTTTTTTCATTTATTGGTGGAATAATAATGAACTCAGTCAGATAAACACAAATCAAATGAATATTATGCCAAATAAAACAAAAAAATTGCCATCAGAGCCAGCAGTTCTTCACACACGGCTATGCAGAGAGAGGGCTGCTGCAGACGGGCTAACATTAGCCCCGGCTGCCATTAGCTTCAGAGGCCCGCTGGTTGCTGCATACCTCTCAACATTGGAACTTTTTTTTTAAATTACGCATGAAATCGGTAAATGGACCATATAGTGACGCTAAAAAGTATACTATTCTCGCCTCAAATTATCTTAAAACGTACTTTTATTGAACACTTTTATTGGAGTGCTCCATTGAAAGCTGCTGCTGCCGCAGTGCATGCTGGGACAGCTGTCATTCTCAATAACGGAGAAGTCTGCTCTGACGCTTACTGGGCACATAAATAGGTTTGTGCGAGAACAAAACTCTGGGACTTTATCCGTTCTCGATCTGCTATTCTTGTGAATTGGAACAGTACTAGTGCTGAGGCTGATGACGTTTCACGAGTACATGAGCACATGAGAACGCACAAGCACACATATATTGAGAAACAGCCTTTGTATCAATAACAACTTTCAATTCAAAATGTCTGAATTAGCGTTGGTGATTTTTTTTCCTCTAAAATCTCAATGAAAGTTATTTTTAGCTTGTTCAATTCATCCTCCCCTGCGCTCAGATCTTAAAAAGAATAAGAAGTACTGAGACTTTTTTTGTCAACCTGTTACGTAAATGGCTGAACTCAGTCGGTCTAAGAACCCACTACTTTCCTTCAAGACAAACAATGATTGTTTTCTACTTTCGGCTACCTTTGGTCGCCAAATAAACGTTATATAATAGCAGATATAGGTAATAATAAGATTAAACTTCAGAAGAGATTTGATTCTTAAGGGTATAGTGGAGGATATTCTTTTTCTGAGTGGATCATCAAAATAAGTGGTCCTCCTAACTGTCAATCATTCTGGTGATATGTTTACATAAGTCCGTCCTACAGTACGTGCTCATCCCTATTTTCACTTACCTGTGGTGAGTCTGACATAGTGGAAAAATTGCTAATCTTCTTCTGGAAAGTAAGCTTGTATGAGCGATGCAAACAGCAACTATTAAACAGAGCGTGTACGAGGAGAAATGGGCTCGTGCATGCTCTCGCACACGTTTAATAGACTTTTGAAAGTTAAAATCCTCCATT